TCACCGTGGGAGTTTTTTTGTGGGGGGTGGGGTGGGTCTGTGGCTAATATTATTGAACACGGGTTATTATACACTTTATGAGAAATCATGCATTCTGGAAATAGAAAACTAAAAAAGTAATAACTACAAGACAATTTGAACCTCGTTAAGATTTGAATGATTTAGTGACTTAAGGAAACTAAAGGCGACTTTAGGCAACTTAAGGCGATTTTAGGCGACTTAAGGCGACTTTGGGCGACTTTAGGCGACTTTAGGTCCCAGAGTAGGCCTGAGTGTGACCGCTTAATACAGGTTCGACTGTACTTTACATTGTGCGTATTTTTAGCTCTTCAGAGCTAGTGGAACCCCATGTCAATCCTGTCAAAGTTCGCTTTGCTGTAGCGTTAAAAGAGGAAGCTAAATGACAGGTATTTGTGAGAGACTGTGAGCACTGAATCTTATTGCTTTACCGCAGTTTAATACTGTAAAGGGCATACACCTGTAATTCACGGTAATGAAATCCCGAAAACCATTAAGCGGTATAATAAAACTATTTTTCTCTGCCATAGACGTTGTTTAAAGCTGGTGGAGCTGTATTTATCATAAATTCAAATATACATTTGAGGAAAACTAACTTAAGTGCGTGTTTTAAAGCTATTTCGCATTATTTCTGGTTCAAAGGGCCATTTGGTGGAGAATTAGGAGATCAACTGAGGCCCACACTCGAAAGGATTGATATGAAGTTAGGCCGGTTTAATAAGCGAAATAGTAGGTGAAATATAAACATGTGTGATCTGTGAATGGAACCTCCCATCCTGGAGACTAGACCTTGCCCACTTTAGAAGAAAATATGGATTTAAGTTTTGATGACCTTGCCGGTCCCGTGAAAAAGATGATATCCCGCAACACGGCCCGCAAAACAAATTAACAAAATTATATAATTACGGACGCAAAATATCAAAACGTTTAACACAAGCAGATTATAATAACACTAAAGCTGGAACACTTTCTATCAAATTAGCGAAATATAGCGATATTTGCTTGCTTCTTAGCTTTTCCTCGACCTCGCTGGTCCTAATAACTGGAATTCTTTGCTAATTTGCACAAGCGACCCGAAGCTCCTGTGAATTCACACTGGCAGACAGAGTGGTTCAAGAAACGTAAACAATAGCGTCACCAAACCCTCAACCCTCAAGTCTTTTTGAAGCGACCTGGGCTTGTTCTTCGAGGAGTAAAAGAGGAACTAATTCTTTGTGTGTTTGCTTCCGTAGTTTAGAGATTTTTAAAAGAGCTCATAAGTTGCACACGTTTTTTTTTCTTCTTGTGCTTGTTTTGTTGTTGCTGCTGTTTCGTTTTGTTTTCATATGTTTTTTGAGTATTTGGCCAAAACACCTTTTTCGCGCAGCAAAGTCTTCACTGGACGTAACTTAAATGTAATATAGGGTCAATTTACCATACACGTTCCTAGAACATGAAGCCAACCCCGCAGAATAGATTATTTTACAGCAAAGGTTCTTTCGTATCAATATCACTACCCGGAAAGGTAAAAATTTGAATTCAAAATTTAATTGTTGGGAATCTTTCGATTGCTGCGAACCCAACGATTTTCTCGGTAAAACTCCCGCTAAAAACACTCACAGTTGCTTGGATTTAACACTTAGAATTTTCCTCTCACAATCACAACGTACTCGGTTTACATCTCAAACTCAACTACTCTGGAATCTTAGAACAATGATATAAAGAAATCTGTTTGTACGTATACTGATAAAAATCTACTTTTGCTTCATTGGTTAATTGTTTCTTAAAACGACTGATTTGGCAGATACGCTGAATAATTAGATGTTTACTTTCGGCTTAAATTAACTTTAAAAGGTTTCTTATCTTTGAAGAATGACATCAAAAACTAATAATTACGACATAATTTGCAAACAAATGAACTCGGTTTTGTTTGCCTCGGCGATCATTTTCACTTCCTTCGATCCCTCAAAGACTGGTATTTGCAGTTTGTGCGTACATCTGTGGGAAACATTAGGCGTCATCTAAATAATAGGGAGGTTAAGATACGGCGACTACGGACTACGGCTACGGTTAAACATGCTACTGCGCATGATCCAAATCACGTGACTGTTCATTTTTCCCCCGTAGTCCTGCGGCTACGGTGAGTTGTTGAGCTGTTTCGCGTAGTCGGGACTACGGAGAACATTTTGCTCGTATTTTGCCGTCTCGGTAATTCAAGAATCTCGTCTTTTCGTAAAAATGTTTTCAATTCACCTGCTTTAAGTGAGAGGGAAGCGAAATATGTAAGTTGTGTCTAATTTCTGCTCAGATTTACGCCTTTAATCCATGTTGTGACTACATTTTTATCTAGCTAAGCTCATATTTAAATAAGCTTCAGACTGACGACCGAGGAGAAGAGAAATCATGCAGGTAATTTACTTTCTCTTCGCACTTGAAAAGTTTGAATGTT